CAATTTTTTCTTTTCATCATTGTAGAGATTCATAATATCCCTACCTATTGTAATGCGCGACGGAAGTTCAAATTTAGGACATGCAACACTACAAAATGATTTGAACCCTTCTTGTTCAACAAATCTAAAAGGCAACTCGTCAATCACAATCATTTTTGCACAAGCTTCTCGACATGCTTTTTGATTAAACCCCACTGATACAAGACTACCACTTTCGTTCACGTTGTTCTTTTGAAACGACAAGAATCTTTGCTTCTTATCCTCTAATCTAAACGGATACTTTTTACATTGATGGTTAAGATGGTTCCAAAGGGTGCTAGTTCCATTTTTTTTCTTATCACTTGCGTAATCTTTACCACAATAATTACACACAGCCCTTGGGTCATTTTGGTTACTCTCATTTCTCGTAAAATGATCTCACACTTCAGAACATTGTCTACTTTTTTTTTCTCTCTTTGGTGTTRGGTGGCAAAGGAGGTTTAGAAGCACCAGTTGAGTCTATACTTTGAGTTTTAGAGGGCATTTCCATCTAAAAGACATAAATACACAKAAACAAAAAAAGTAGAAAATAAACATAAGTTACAATGAAGAATCACAATCATAAAGACATAAAGGATAAATCCAAGCTCATTCACATGTAAAAACTGAGGCCACATGCAGCTTTTAAGATACCCACGAACACGAACAATCAATATTCAATAACATATGCATAGAAAAGTTATGGAAAATCTACAAGTTCTTATACATATAGTACAACTTCTTATGCACATAGTACAACTTCTTATGAACATAGTTTAAGACTTTAAGTTCAAAAACAGACTGAGACTATGCATATGTTTTCTCTCGTGATAGTAGTGATAGACTAAACAGAGGTGATTGACTATGCATAAGTTAAAAAACARACTATGTAACTATAACATTCCGTAGCCATTTATGCATCATCAAGCATAGATACATATAGAAATTTCTTGAAGTTAAAGTTAAAGCAACAACACATGACTTACCATTTACAAATATGTTCGTGAGGGATTTCGATTTCGACTTGGGCAGACGACAAGTCGGCAGTCGGCACCGGCAGCTAGACTTCGATGTGGCGGCAGACGCAGGGGCAGCAACGTTCGTCGGCAGGCGCAGCAACAACAACGGCAATCGGCAACGTCGTTCGAGTTATGAATTAGGCGACTGGAGATTGGAGTTCGATGAATTAGCAACAACTCTGGATTGAAAGGATTAGCCAATTAGGAATTAGAAATTTAGAATTACCAAATTAGGGATTTACCAATTTAGATTTAGGCCTTTAGGGGATTTAGGATGTGTGTTGGATAAGGCTTTTACGGTTGGGCTGAATAATTATAGGCCCATGAGATATACATTAAAATTGGGCTAAATAATTATAAGATTAAAATAAAATTATATATATAATATATATATGGCGGTCGGGTTGGTCCAAACCGCCCAAAAAAAAGGCTAAACCGCAAACCGACCAGACCGCCCGGTTTCGGCTATTTTTCAAACCAGACCGGACCGCCAGACCGCTCAAACCGCCAAAAACGGTCCGGTTTGACTTGGCTCGGTCGGTTTGAGCGGTCCGACGGTTTTTTTGAACACCCCTACGTTTGACATGATTTTTATATTGATAAAATATGTTGTTTTGAGTACCTATCCATGTTAATCAATCATGTGAATAAACATCAGCAGAGAGAACAAAAAACACCAATTAGATAAAGTCATATTAGATAAAATAATTAAGTGTCTTCATATGAATAATGGAATAAAGATTAGTTAAGAAAATGGAGGTAGATTTTATGAGATTGATGTTATTGTGTTTTTTAACATCTATATGAATTGCAAAAACTAGAAGACAAAGGTGATTTGTCGTACGAAGTGAATGCTTTGAATCATGCCTAGTTAAGAAGGTGATTTACCTTATGAACTATTCGGACTAAGAAATTTCAGAAAGTTTATTGCTTTCTGAATCAAACTAAGACATACGTCTTTTGAACTTAATTAATAAGGTGATTTGCCTTATTAACTATCCAGCCTTAGAAATTTTAGAAGCCATATTGCTTTCTAAATCATACATAAATATCGACAAGTATACAATCTGCATATAGTGATGTTCTGTGACTATGGGTTCTAACTAACTTATACAAATATACACTTCGCACTACGTAATATATGTAGTAGCTTTATCACCAAAACTTTTTCATTATGTTATGAATTCAATTACATAAAATTTCTTACTCCTTTTTTAATAATTACATAAAAAAAGACATGATTAAAATAACTTCATTGTACCCAATTAAAATCTTTTATTTTATGTCCGTCAATCTCATTTTGTCCCTTTTGAAGGATATGCTTGTGAAAACGGATGTGGTTTCATTTAACTCCTCCCTACCAAAACTTGTTTGTACCAATTACTGGGTTTGTAAAAGAACGAGACTCTCTTTATACATATGTTACATATAAAGTTAACTAAAAAGGAGATACTAGAAGTTCAAAACACCCATTTTTATACGAGGATACCATTTTAAATATAACAATCATTTGGACCCATGCATATATAGACATATCGGTTGGTTCATGCTTATGGAAGCATCAACCAACCTTTCTATAATTTCACTTGTATGTAAGATGAATTTGTTGGCAAATCAAAGGCCACGCTCCAACCTTAATTTCAAGAAATCCTTGTACATCATATCAAATTGTGCTACAAAATGATCACGGTCACATAGAAGATATTTTTGATAAAAATATGTGTTGGAAAAATAAGAAATCATGGTGACCAGTAGCATCTTGAATTAAATTGAAAGAATGCCACGAGTTGCTTGTTCCGCAAGAGCTTGAGCATGTCGGCCACTCGACCATCAAACAGACATCCATCAAAGGAGGTTGCCTGAATATATTAAAGTTTTATAGCCACTTTTGTAGGGTTCTTTCATTGAATTTTGTAATAGCGTGATGTATGTTTTAAGAAATGTAATTGTTTCTAACCAGTGATGTCTGCCAAACGATCATGTCCTTAATCAGTATGACATTTATTAGTTGGAATCATAACTTCTAACCCGTCTTTAGGTTACAACGAAATTGCCTTACTAGAATGTCCAAAGGCAGATTCATTCACAAAAGGTAGGAAGAAATGCCCCTATTGGTACTTTGTCTTGACAATATAAAATAACTCCTCCCCCGAATTAAGGAGAGATGCTTGTAGCTTTGTCCCCAACACCCAATGCATGCCCCCAGTAACCAAAGGTTTCTAGATCCACTAATGAGGTCGTCCAACCGTTCTAATAGAGTGCTTAATAAGGTTCTTAAATATATAGAACTAACAACTATGCATCTTATACGAATGCGTTACAATAAAGTTTTTAGGATGAAAATACACATTTATCAGTCTTCTAAACTCAAAAAGTTTTATTAAATATTGTATTAGGGTGGTTAAACATTTTCTGTAACCCAATTTTAGTTTTGAGTAAATTATTAGGCATGGTGATTTTTTCTGACCTAGTGCGAAACCCGATTGACCCGTCCTGATCGGGGTCGGAGATTCCTCGCTGAACTGAGTCCCGTGTCCGGGGCCGTGTATTCAATTTTGTCCCGGCCCTCACCCATTACTAATTAATTTAATATATAGTATATTGAAATTACCTTGCTGCTAGTTTTGGTCAATCAAAAATCAATTTGATTCCCAAAGTAGGTTTGGTGTTCGACAACACATTTCGACTTTGTTCATCCTTCATCGTTCCTCTTCCTATCGTCCACCACCATCGTCTTGAAGTCTTCTTATCAACCATTAGCTCATCGTCCACTACCATCGTCCTCCACCAATCTTTCATTATCCGAATCTTGGTAAATCCATCAATCTTTTAAGCTTTTCTTTTTGTGAGTTGGGTACTTGAGTTTATATAAGGTCAGAGAAATCGTATCTCTCATTTTCTGTTTGTGACCTTTTCTGTTTGTGAGTTGTTTACTTCATTACTTGTTTACATGGGTTTGGTATAAAAGTTTGAAGGAAACATATCTAACCTATATGATACTTTAGTTTTAACGATGCAATCAATGCTTAAGCACGAAATCTATTGAAATAACTCGTACTATAACAAAAAGATTCCCCTTTCATTACCTATGACCTTACATCTCCTAAGGAAATACTTTGGAAATGATGAAGATGTGAATAAACAGAAATGGGACTGGAAAATTATGAAGTTTAGTAATCGTGCTCTTCCCCTCTCTCTAATGTTTTCACTTGATATCAAATTAGTTGTTTTCTTACACATTTCATACTCTAATCAAATGCTCGATACTCAATAAGTCAATAACCAAATTTTTTTGTCTCACTTTGTTGTAGCATATTATCACTTCCAGATCCTATCCAATAACTAAATTTTTCTACGATGGAAACTTCAGAAAATGAGAACACAGTAGATATTAGATGTGATGTGCTATGGAAGGAAATGAGAATGAACAGTACATTATTTGTAATGATATTAACGAATCAATAAGTATGCCTATGCGGACAAATACGAGCATCAAACAATAAAAAATGTTGAAACATGTTGTTTTGAACCATTTTGAAGCATTATATGTTGATGGTGTTCGTCAATTTGCAAAATGTAAGTATTACAATAAACAAAGGACATAAGGCAACGTATGTTATTCCTAACTTAACTTAGTTGTACAGAGGAGTACGTAAACCTACTATTGGTGCCACCCTTTTTTCACTTAGACCATTGATGTCTCAGATGTTACAAAGTAATGAACAGTACACTAGTCTACCATATAAAGATCCTCATTCTCATCCGCGATCTTTCATGGAAATCACAGATTCTTTTCTCATCCCTGATGTTTCAAACGATGCTCTGAGACTAAAACTTTTTTATTTTCACTAAGAGATCGAGCAAGATCATGGTACAACTCCTTGCAACCAGACTCTGTGACAACATAGAACGAAATGGCAGAAAATTTTGTGAAAAAAATATTTTCCAGCCATGAGGAATGCTAAGTCCATAAATAAAATCCATACTTTCAGACAATTGGATGATGAAGCAGATTCTGATGCTTGGGATTGGTAGATAGAGTTGCTGAGAAAATGTCCTCACCATGGCATTCCGTAATGTATACTGCTAAAGACGCTTTACAATGGTTTAAATATCGTTGCTAGACAAATGCTCGATGCTTGCAGGTGGATCTTTCACAGCTTGCACCTATAATGAAGATTTTGACATACTTGAGAAGATTTCTAACAATAACAGACAATGGTCTGATCCACGTGCATCGCCACTGATGAAAACAACTGAGGTACATGAGGTAGATGTTGTTTCAGCATTAACAACTCAGATCACTAAGCTGATTTCAAATCTGACATCTAACCACATGTGTAATCTGATGCCAACACCTTTAACCCCAATGTTCAATCTATGTGATGCATGTATTATGGTGAGGGGCACTCTTTTGAGCATTGTCCTATAAATCCCGAACAAGTAAATTTTTTTAAAAAGGGTGGAACATTTTCACATACGTACAATCCCGGATGGCTCAATCATCTAAATTTTTCATGGCATAGTCCAACTCTTAACCCACAAGGACAGTCCAATTTTCAACCATAAAGACAGTCCAAATTTCAACAACAAGGTCAACCTAATTTTCACTCACAATCACATCAAGGCAATCATAATAACCAACAGATAAATTTTCAAACTAAAAGTCATCAGCCTTCTTTCCAAAACAAGCCTAAACAACATGTTGAATCATCTATTTCCTTGGAAGCAACGGTGAAGGGATTTATGACCCAAACTCATGCATCAATTAAAAATCTTGAAACCCAAATGGCACTAATAGCTTTCAAAATGAGAAAAAGACCGATAGGTTCTCTACCTAGTGATACAAAGACACCTTAGATAGAAGGAAAATAGCATGTTAAGGTTGTTATTTTGAGGAGTGGAAAGACAAATAGAAAAGAACAAAAAGAACCAAGCAAAGTCGAGCCTGAAAAGAAAATTGTGGTATGAGATTATGTTACCTCAGTACCATCTCATGTTACTACCATCCCTATGAACCATTCCTGTAGTATCAATGGACCTAAACCCATAGTGAAGCGCATTGATATTACAACCATTCCAAAAAGATCAGAATTTTCATTACTATTTCATGATGAACCCAGGGAAGTCCACACACCCAAAGAAAGTATTGTAGTGGATGTTACCTACTCTTCCATAGACTACTTCTCCTACTACAATCACTTCTTACATTCCTTATCCCAAAGGTTAAGGAATCAAAAAGAAGAATAATAAGTTAGAAAATTTCTTGATGTTTTTAAATAGTTACATATAAACATAACTTTAGTCGAGGCTATTGAAAAATGCCAAGTTATGCAAAGTTTCTAAAATAGATTTTGAGTAAAAAGAAAAATCTGACTGAGTGTGAAACTGTAGCTCTGAATGAAGAGTGTATTGCCTTGTTATCCAGCAAAATCCCTCCTAAGCTTAAAGATCTTAGAAGCTTTGCAAGATCGAGCATTTCAAACTTTAAAGGAATGTCTGACACACGCGCCTATACTTACTCTACCTGAGGGTAACGAAGACTTTATAGTATATAGTGACGCATCTCGACTTGGTCTTGGATGTGTCTTGATACAGCAAGGCAAGGTGATTGCATATGCTTCTCGCCAATTGAAGATTATGAGAAGAACTACCCTACTCATGACCTTGAATTAGCAACGGTGGTATTTACTTTGAGGCTTTGGCGACACTATCTTTATGGAACGAAGTGTCAATTTTATACTGATCACAAGAGCTTAAAGTATTTATTTAATCAACAGACCTTGAACATGCGTCAACAACGTGCTATGGAACTCATTAAAGATTACGACTGTGAGATACTATATCATCCAGGTAAAGCCAACGTAGTGGCAGATGCTCTTAGTAGGAAGACGCATTCTGGACTTCTATGCTACTCTATCACTCACACGTCAATTAAAAATAATTTATTTGATGATATTCGGAAATGGCAGATTGAGGCTTTGAAGCCTGAGAATGTCAAAGTAGAACGAATGGTAGGATGCATTGATTCTCTCCCTGAAGATGGACGTGGCTTGAAGGTCTTTAAGACCCGAATCTGGGTCCCCAAACTTGGCGGCATGGGAGATGTTGTTTTAGTAGAAGCACATAAGTCGCGTTTATCAATACACCCAGGAAGTACCAAAATGTACCAAGATCTTCGTTTAGATTACTGGTGTCCTGCAATGAAGACTGATATTGGACGTTATGTTGAGAAACGTACCACATGCTTACAAGTAAAAGCTGAACACTAGAAACCGTATGGTAGTTTACAGCCTCTCGAGGTACCGATGTGGAAATGGGAGGAATTAACGATGGATCTGGTTACTAAACTACCGAAGACCCAACDHCAAMAYGACAGTATTTGGGTTATAGTTGATCGATTGACCAAATCTGCATTGTTCTTACCTGTCCGAGAATCTTATTCTATGGATCGATGGGAGCGATTGTACATTGATGAAGTTGTCTCGCGACACGGTGTACCAGTGAAGATTATTTCTAATCACGACTCTCGATTCACTTCTAATTTTTGGACTAGATTTCAACGAGAGTTGGGAACACGTCATGCGTTTAGTACGGCCTATCATCCTCAGATCGATGGTCAGTCAGAACGAACCATTCAGACTCTCGAGGATATGCTACGCGCATGTGTCTTAGAATTTRGTGGTAGCTGGGATACTCACCTACCCTTGGTTGAGTTTTCTTACAACAATAGCTACCACTCGACAATTGGAATGGCTCCCTATGAGGCTTTATACGGACATAAGTGTCGTACACCCTTGTGTTGGCGGGAGACGGGAGAGAAAGTTTTAGTTGGCCCCGAACTCATTCAGATCACTCATGACAAAATTACGATTGTTCACGAAAGAATGAGAGCTGTCCAAGATCATCAAAAGTCTTATGCAGATCGTCGCAAAAGGCCAATCGAGTTCTCGGTGGGTGATATGGTAATGGTGAAAGTTTCTCCTTGGCGAGGTGTACTTCGATTCCGAAAACAAGGTAAGTTAAGTCCACGATTTATTGGCCCATTCAAAGTATTGGAGCGTATCGAAAAACAAGCTTATCGACTAGAGTTACCGGAGGAACTTACGGGGATACACGATGTGTTTCATGTCGGGTACTTACGTAAATGCTTGGGTAAACATGAAGAGACGGTGCTCTTAGCCGAAGTCAAAGTAGATGAGAAATTAAGATACATTGAATGACCAGAATCAATTCTGAACGAGAGAAAAGTGAAACTACGTAATAAGGAAGTAGACTTGGTATTGATCAAGTGGAAACACCATCGGGACCAAATTGGACGTGGGAGCGTAAAGATGAGATGAAGGCGAAATACCCTTCTTTATTTCCACAACAGTGATTTCGGGGACTAAATCCTCAAAAGGATGAGGTATTTGTAACATCCAATTTCTAATATGCCCAATTATTTGCTTATATATTTAATTATTGGGTTAAAGAGAACTTAGGATTTAGTGGGAGTTTAGGTTTGAAATTTTAGAATTATACTTCTTAGGAGTATATTAGAGGAGAGTTTTTTGCAAAAATAGGGTAGTTTTGAAAAGGGTTTGTAGAAATAGGGTAGTTTTAGTTTTATTGGTAGAAATAGGGTTGTTTGTGTGGGACCCACTAATTTTAAAAAATCTGATTTTGTAAATTTATAATTTTTTACCCTCCAACTTACATTTTCATTTTTATTTATATCCTTTATTTTGTAAAATTT